ACAAGCATATAAAATTGGTCAAAGTAAAAATTTTAAACATTAACTGGTATCTTCAAAAAACTGATAGAAATTAGTAGTAAAGTCATCTTAGCTATCCTGTGTATATACTTACATGATTTTTCCCCTTTTTCTCCTTTCCCTTATTTCAATTGTTTATTCTTATATTTAGTTTCTTTCCCTTTTGCTTTATCTATTGTACCTTTCAGATTTTATTTATTTTTTCAGGCTCTTAATGGTAGGGAGACAATACAATGTTTACATATGTGGATCTGAATTATTTCACTTACGAGTATAGCCTCTAGTTGCCTCCAGTTTATCTTTCCTTATAGCTGAGTGAATACTCCATTGTATAAAAATACCACATCTGTTTTATCCATTCCTCAGGTGATGAGCATTTGGGTTGTTTCCAATATTCAGCTATGACAAATTGTGCTGCTACAAACATGGCTGCACATATATAGCTGTGGTATGAGGTTTTCAGTTCTTCTGGAAAAAATACCCAGAGGGAGAATAGCTGGGTTGAATGGGACCTCTAATCCTAGTTTTTGAGGATTCTCTACATTGATTTCCACAGTGATTGTACCAGTCTACATTCCTACCAACAGTGAAGAAGGGTTCCTTTTCCTCCACAGCCCCTCCAGCATTTGTTATTTGTTGATTTCTTGATGATGTCATTCTTTCTGGGGTGAAATGAAATCTCATTGTTGTTTTAATTTACATTTCTTGATTGACAGGTGGTGTTGAACATTTTTTTCATGCTTTTATTTTCCATTTGTATTTCTTCCTCTGAGAAGTGTGTATTGATCTCAGATAACCATTTTTGGATTGGGTCTTTGAATTTTGGGGGCCTGATTTTTTTTTGTTGTTATTTAGTTCTTTATGTATTCTAGATAGAAGTCCTTTGTCTGAGTGACTGTTGGTTAAGATTTTTTTCCCAATTTGTGGGTTGTCTTTTCTCTTTGTTGGTGATTTGTTTTGACATGCAGAAGCTTCTTAATAAGATGAGATCCCAGTTCTTGATTCTTTGAAGTATTTTCTGTAATTTGGTTTTCATTCATGAACTGTGCCTACCCCTATGTCATCAAGGTTTCCACTTAATTTCTCTTCTAGTAGATTTAGTGTTTTTGTCTTGATATTTAGTGCATGTAAAATGAATACTTGAACATGCAATTATTTGGTATTTCTTTTAGCTATATGTCTACTAGAATAGTATCAGAATACTTTGTTAAGGCCAGCTTTATTTATCATTATTGGTATATCACAGCTGATGTTGTAGTAATATATTTAAATCAGTGAACAAAAAATACATTTTTAATTGCATTTTGAAAATTGCTGGTGTTGGGCAAGGGATATGGCTCAATGATAGAAACACCTTCCTGGCAAGTGCAAGAGCCCAAGTTCAATCCCCAGTACCAAATAATAATAATAATAATAATAATAATAATAATAATATAAAATGAAATTGCTTATGCTTACTGGTCATCTGAATCATTTTCTTTTGTGAAATAATTCTTCCCCTTATATATATCTCTATTCATATATATTATGTGTATATTTAAAGACATCAGTAATTCCAAATGTATTTGAACCTAACCAGTTCTGTTAGTGTTTCTTTTTAAGTTTTTTTCATTATTTTTGTGCTAAGAAAATTTTTCCTTATTTAAATAGCTACTTATTTTTGTATTAGGTTTTATATAATCGTATCACACATGTTTATATATTTAAATGCCAGGAAAAATATTTTTTCCAGATGTGTTGGCAGTTGTCCCAATATCATTTATGGAATAGTCTCTTCCTTTCACACTAATTAGAAAAGCTACGTATGGGCTAGGGAGCTAGCTGGGCAGCCTAAGAGCCTGTCTGGCAAATGCAAGGTCCTGAGTGCCAGTACCTCACGCTGTGCAGCCCAGGAACTGGGTGTGGTGACTCATGCCTATAATTCCAGTGCTGATGAGGCTGAGACAGGAGGATCACTACAAGTCCAAACTGCATAATGAGACCCTATATCAATAAAATTTTTAAAAATTAGGT